GCGGCGGCGGGCGGGCGGCGGCCCCCGGGCAGGTGGCGAGCGAGCGGAGCCGGGCGGAGCGCGGGGGGCGAGGCCGGCGCGTCGCTCGCGGGAGGCCGGTGAGCAGCAGGGGCATGTGGATACTGGCCCTCTCCTTGTTCCAGAGCTTCGCGAATGGTGAGCCTTTGGGTTTGTGATGAATTTTATTTCTTGTATTGACCGGAGTGAGGGGGCACTGGATGCATGGGTGAAACCGTTCCCCGTTTCCCCCATCTGTGCTTACATTTCCATGCTTTTATATATTTTAACTGATTTTTATTTCCTTTGGGAGGAGTGGAGGCAGTGAAGAGAGGCCGGGGTGGGGAGGGGGGAATTTGCTCTGTAATCATTTAGAGGAGCTTACCTTGCAAAGTGACAGCTCGGAGCTAACTCCAGTACTAGATAGCTAGCTCATTCAGAATAAACCTGGTTTGGTGAGAGGAGGTGACATGGGGAGATGGGCACTTCGACACATGACAACCTCAAAGGGACGTGACATTCCAAGTGCGGGCAGGTGGAGGGGTCAGTTAAGAGCTTTTGCCTTCAGATTCAAAGCGTTATGAGCATCTAATTCTGCTACAATTCATCTCCAGCAGCAGTGAAGAAGGCTTTAAGAAAAAGATCTGTCCTTCTATCCCGCCCCCCCCACACACACACACACACACTGTCTTGGTACTACACACTCCTCACAGGCATTTCTGTAAAAAGATGCACTCATAAGCATTACATCATCTGAAATGTGGATACATTTTTAAAAACACCTGTACAGTTGTAAAAATCAAATCAGTGAATATTGTAAAGAGCTTTGCTTTCCTCGTTCCCATCCAGCAGTACATTTTGAAATGCTTTCTTCCTGGGCATTTGAAAAGCTATTGCTCTTGACTGAGTCAGACCCAATTAGCAAGTGTGACTGCACCTTCCGTTGCCTGTCACCGCGTAAATATGAACTTGCATGTATGAATGGCTTCCTCTTATTTGGGAGCGGGAGGAAAGTGTCATCATTTGGCACTGCCTGGGAGTAGCTACCGCGTCAATTCCCATCTCAATTTTTGGAACACAAATCTGCATAAAATGTATGACTTGCTGACAGCTAGAATTAAAGCATTAAGCAGAATCCCTACCCAGGAGAAAGAGAGAGAGAGAGAGAGAGAGAGAGAGAGAGAGAGGAAATCTCACCCTGGTGAGAAAATACCAGAATCCAAGGGGGAGGCTCTAAGCTTTTCCTGGAAGATGCACAGGAAAGCTGAGGTTAGCTGCATGAGAACATTTTCTCTGCCTAGCTAGATAGCATTCAAAGAATCAACACACCAACAGGCTAGAGGAAACACATAAACTCTGTAAAATTAAAAACTAATAACAATAATGGATGACTAAGGCAAGGCAGAGCTGAAGGAAGGAAGTCCTGAAATTCACATTAAAACGATACTTTGCTTTCTAATATAACCTAAAGCAAAGTGTTCAAAACTTTCATTTGGAGCTTTCCTAGCAGGAAAGAATTGCAACAAGTTCTGACATGACACCCATCTTTCCCAGAGGGCACTACATACCTCTTCTGCAGCCTCGCGGGAATTTACCTGGGGGAATAGATCTGCTCTGGCTAATGTGTGGTGATGCATGGAGGTGAGCCGTTAATGCTGCTGCGGCTCGGAGAGCACTCAGAAATGCTCACATGCGTGTTCCAGCGCCACAGAGCCTGTGGGCCTGCTCACCCGTTAGCCCCCCCCCCACACACACACACACACTACCCGGCTCTTGGAGAGGCCTGGGTTGCAGGCTGAAATACAATTTCCATCCGATTGGGAAATCTGTGTCTCCGGGTGATGGAAGAGACTGTATCCTGGCTGTCAGTCTGTCAGCCCCAAGTCTACAGTTCCACAGTTTACATATGACAGAAATAGTATTGAAGAGTGTCTGACACAGTCTCTGGGACAGAGATGCTGTACATATATGTGTGACTTTTTCTGAATCAGTGTTCATACTAAAATAATCACAAAAGAATCATATAGAGTGAGAAAATGGTATAAAACCTCCAACATTCAGCTGTATGGAAAATAGATGCAAAGCATATGTGTATGTAGACATAGCAAGTCCAAGTATTATCTTCTTACACCTTTTTCAAGAACGACCTTTACTGTTGATGGATAATCACCATTATTGACAGTGTAGTGAATACAGGTAGATTTCACAATATAAGCTGTACAGCATACACGCAAAATGAATATTTTACTGTATAACGTGCTCTGATCCTATCAACCAGAATGCTGTGGGAGTCTCATATAAAAATGGCCCTCTCTTTATAAGATCAAGCATTAAAATAATAATAATAATAATAATAATAATAATAATAATAATAATAAAAAAGCCTGACTGTAGAGCACCGAGCGCTCTCATTTGGGGGGGGTGCTAGCTTTAAAGAGTTGTTCAGTGAATGATGTCCAGTGTTCAATGCGTGATATGCAAAGGATCCTAAAATATCTAGTCATAGCAAAAATAAAATGTGTCCAGTTGCAATGCTGCCTGTTCATAGGGCCCTATGTCACAAATGTGAAATTAAATGGCTCCTACCTATATGAATGAGACTTGAAAAAAAATAGAGAAAAAAAATTTTTTCAGCAGCTGTCATGTTTAGGTCTACCTTAATTTTGAAAAATTCCTGAACATGTGTGATCAAGGACCTATGCATTCGAATGCCTAAACCGATTAGCGCTAGGCCTCAAACATCAAAATGTCTGACATCCTTTTAAAAATTCCATTTGTAAAATATCCTGCAGTTTGATGTATTGGGGTGCTACCAGAACAAGAAGCCCATGCTATAGCTGTATTTTAACAGGAGACAGCAGCGTTCTTCCTACAGACATAATGGGATTTACATTCATTTCTTAATATAAGCAGGATTGTTGGACAGGCTGCAGGTCGTATTTTGGGTAAAACAATGAGAAGTCCATCATGGGTTAAAACCTTGAATGAATGACCTCACCTGATTAGGTGCAGTCACCACGGTAAAAGCAGTCAACTTGTTCTGCAATGTTCCAGAAATCCTCGCGGGAGACCTTGGGTTACAGTGCAAGGGGACGGGTCCATATATGTGCAGTCACACACCACACACGCATCCCTCCTTCTCTGCTCAGGACAGTATCATGCTGCGTTAGGTTTTATCACCATTTCTCTGGACTTGAGCCCCAGCGAGCACATTCTAGTTTAGAATTCTTGCGGAAAGCCAAGGTGGGCCTTAGGATGAGCAGAATAATGAATCAGAAGCAGGTTGATTAGAGATGGTATATTTTTGCCTGTACCCTTGCCTCTCTGTTTTATATGCACGTCGCCTTTTCCTGAGCTGTGGAATCGGGTGCTTTGCTGTTTGCAGGGAGTTGGTAGACATTAGAGAGGGTGTGGAGGTGGGAGAGGGAAGGGGGCTGGTGGGAGAGAAAATGGGGTGTCCAGCGCCTCTCAAGCATCACCGGTTCATCTCCACAAGGAATTTCAGGCCGTGAACTTAATGTTTGATTTAAATTTAGGAGCAGACTCTTGTGAGTACAAATGCCCTTTCAGGGCTTTTAAGATTTTTCTTTAATTCATGTAAATATGTGTAAGTAAAAACTGTTATCAGGTGACTCATTTCAGGGCCTCCTCTCCTCCCCTCTCCCCTGTTTTTATCAAGCAGACTCACATTCTATCCCAGAATTTCAGGGTTCACCTAAAATTCCTGGGGCCTGAGCTGCATGTCCCTACAAAATGCTCTCTGTAGGAAAACAAAATGCCAGGCAGACCTTTAGTAAATGCCAGCCCACCCTCCTCCGCCCCCCGGCTCCCTTCTGAATGGCACGTTGGCGTGACCACAGTTCACTGCTGCCATGGGGGATCGGGGACTTCCTGGGCAGAGAGCCTGTACGATCCAGCACGCTGGCAGGGGAAAGAATTTTTGGTGAAAAAAAAAAAAGCTAATTTAAATCCCCAATTCCTGGCCCTCCATGTAGCCGTCAGAATGTTTTATCGTTGATGTGTCCGGGGTGAGGTGTAATGAGTATTTCCTAAAGAGACTCAGTGCAGTGTGCATGGAAACTCCATGTGAAGGGGGGGGGGTGCGAGACGGAGAGGGAGAGAGAGGGAGACGGGGAAGGTCATTTCATAAAGAGAGACCAGTGAACACTGCAGGAGACCGGGAATTTATGTTTGAAAAATAAAAGGATGGCGTTCTCGGTGGATGCATTTACAGAATCCAAGGCATCTAGATTTCACGAAACGAGTTGACTTCTGCGGGTGACATTATGGACGTGCCTCATTCATAATTAATAGGCGGGGAAAATAACACGTTTAGCAAGGGGTTAGGCAGCGCCTGGGGGTGCATTTTCGGAGAGCAGCGCTCCCCTTCTCCGGGTTTCGCCGTGTGCCTGGAGCAGGGAGCAGAGCAGACAGGGCCCTGGGGGATGGTGTGCAGACCGCTGTGTCTGGGCATTTTCTTGGCTGCTGTGATGAAGTACATGCTGGCTCTTGGTGACCGGCTCCATCAGCCAGCCTGGGAGAGAGTGAGGTGGCGCTACCTGCATGTCAATTGTGTCTCTGCCATAGGACACTAGTGGGCGGCAAACCTCACAAGACTGCTGCAGCCTTCAGCAGAGCGGCAGCACCGCCGCCTCCGTGGGAGACGTGCTGTGTGCAGGGTTAGAGGCTTTCCTCCCCTTGGTTTCTCACATTCACGGCGCCCAGACGCCCATGGCAGGGAGTGCATTCTAACAGGATGATGCGAAGGCCGGAAGCCCAGCAGGCCAGGCAGGGTCCAGCCAGCCGTCTTTGTTCCAAGATTACAAAGAAGGACCATGTTGAGAGCGGTATTTTGAAATCCAAAAGGTGCATAGCAAGGGAAAGGGGGTGTCTGGGGACTCGGGGGGCTTGCCGCTGGTGCACTTGCATACCCCCTTTCAAACTGGCAGGGGAGTCCCGCCGGCCGTGCGTGCGTCTTTTCTCCGAGGTGGCAGCTCCAGGAGCAGCCCCGCGCCGGATTGGCTGACCTTCCAATGTCATTCCAGGAGGCGCCGCTGGCCTCTCCTCCTGCTGATGGCGACAGGGGTGAAGCCGGCGCTCCGCAGGCGCTCCGCAGTCCGTCAGTCTCGAGGCTGCGGGGCGGGAGCCCCCTTCCCCCA